TCCCAACGAACGCAACCCCAACGCCAACCAAAACAAGTCCTGTTGTTTCTGTTGGTGTTGCTGTTGCTCCTGTTCCTGGTATGTGTCACCTCTCTATCATTATTTACCATTATTACCATTATTACCATTATTACCATTATTACCATTATTACCATTATTACCATTATTACCATTATTACCACTACCATTACCATTGCCACTATCTCCATTATTATCAATGCACCCATAGTATCATTATTTTTTAAACATACACACCAACCAAATATTTTTCATGATATACTATATATACTGTATAGTGTACATTTTTATTCACAAATTACTATCAAATAGAACCTAAAGTTTAAATTTTTAAATGAATTTAACAATTACTATGCTGAGCCTTTAATATACCTGTACTGTACAATACCTATTATATTTATGTTTAGTTTTGCAGTTTGTAAGTATTTTTCAATAATTTTCTTTCAATTATTTGCTTAATCTAATAATCATAATGTATCATGTATATTTAATAACATAGTTCTTATTTTCATTGATTTATATCACGTTACAATCACTCAATTAATAGAATATTCTGAATATCTATAGCTATACTGTACACAAGTAAAAATAATGTACAATTATCATATGAGAGTGTATTGCAATAAAGTAAGAATACGGGGTCTGAAGGGCTCAATCATATAAAATTTATAATATAAATAATATTATCATAATTATATGATCAATAAATATAATTTCTTTGATTATAATGTTATTCAAATTATTTCTCTTATTTTGCACATAATATTCTTATATAAAATGATCTAGGATGAATGAATATTTAAAATTAAATGATATTTCTATGTAGATTATACTTACTTAGAAAATAATTTGCAAATACTTTTAAAATCTGAGCTTTGATGCAATTATCACAAGCAAAATAAAATTTTCATTATAATGATATATTGTTAGAATTCAATTAAATGAATTTATTACGATTATTAAGTAATAAATTTAATTTCATCCATTATATACCGGCATATAAATTATGCACTTATTAATTGTAAATCATATATCTAAACTGAGTGTTATAAATATTATACTATTCAATATGTTTTATATTTTATATATCTGGGATGTTTTAACGAAATGAGTCTTTCAACTTAGTACTGTTTAGCACTATTACAGTCATTTGAAAGAAGAGTTGAAAGACTCATTTCGTTAGATCATCCCAGTTAATTTCATCCATTATATACCGGCATATAAATTATGCACTTATTAATTGTAAATCATATATCTAAACTGAGTGTTATAAATATTATACTATTCAATATGTTTTATATTTTATATATCTGGGATGTTTTAACGAAATGAGTCTTTCAACTTAGTACTGTTTAGCACTATTACAGTCATTTGAAAGAAGAGTTGAAAGACTCATTTCGTTAGATCATCCCAGATATGCTTATAATTTTTAAATGAGATATACTTTTAGAAAAATTATAATTACTAAAATAGACTACTAGCTTTAATTGTTTGTATTAATATTTTGTTTAATCCAAAGCGAATATATTTATTTTTAAATATTTTATTCTGCAAATATTTGATTGTAAATTTAGTTTTTATTTCAATAATAATAATAAAAATAAAGTTAACTATTAAGACTATGAGTTACAAAAGATATTATGTAATAACTAATTATTTAAAAATTATTCATTTAAATTATTCAGTTATTTTCATAATTATTAAAGTTTAACATTATAATGGAGAATATTCTTATATTCTTGTATGGCTTGTACAGACATTTAAATGAATTTCATTCACAATAAGTTTTGTTCTGACACTACAATTGTGGGACAAATTGACTGACAGTTAATTGAATTTTGATCTTCTATTCACACATTATATTTGAATTTTTAAAGAAAATTTTAATCTGTTTTTATATATAAAATTTTNATCCGATGTGATCAATATAATAAGTCCCAATTTAATTATTATAAAAACACAAATCAATCTCATCCACATTATTTATTATAATTTCGTTTACTGTAAATATAATTTATATTTAATTTAAAAAGTATTATTATTATGGCAATTAATATACCTGTACAAGTACCTATGAATATTGAAAACAGAGATATTTCAAGAGCAATAGAAACACTAGTCTAAAATTACAGCAACATTTTAATATCATTTTCTTAGTTTATATCAAACAATCTTATGGCACAATACAGTATTATCAGATATTCCAGAAATTGAGTTTAATCATAATTGAATAACCAACCAAACCATGTTCAAAAATAATTTTGTATAAGGTAAACATTGTAACTGCAAATTACCTATAACGATATACTGTACACTACTCTAAAATATCATACTCAATTATAAAACACATTTACAATCACTTTCATTGAAATATATTTTATTAAAATGATAGGTATTGCCGTAAATCATATTTAACACAAATATTACTAATAGGGTATAAACATGTTTGTTATATAGATTTATTTAGAGATTTAAGTCTCAAATTCTATAAAGTATTATTAAATACAAACCTATTTCAGAGTTTCAATTGTATTTAAAAATAACTCAAATATAAGACATTGTAATAAAATATCAAATTTGAGGCTTTATTGTTGTGTTTTAGGGTTACGACAGCCAACTATTCTCACATAATTGGCTGGAATGAGACCCACTTTCTGGCCATCAATTGTCGCTAATAGCCATCCCCTCACTCTCGGCTGTAATTCTGTGCCAAATATAAATAGTAATTAATAAAAAGTATATTTAATACTCATTTATGAGACAAACCCTTTGGCGCCACAATAATCTTCTGGCCGACAGTGAATGACACCTCACGAGGAATGTCTGAATGGAAGTCATAGAGAGCTGTGGCCTCGTAGTGCTCGCCCTCACCCATCGCCCACTTCTCTGAAACTATTAATCAATCGATTGGCCATTACTTACAAATGAAGTCAAAACCACTATTAACTAAATAAATACCTGTCCTCTCACTTGCAGCCATTGTGGACATGAGTTTCCACAGAAGCCATGGCGTGCCCAGTATTACAGTGAAGAATACAATGGTAGGCCACGGACCACCTCTTGACGACAAATTGTCGCCTTTTAATGAATCAAAGGTGCCGTCGGCTGTCAAATGGGATTCAATGGGATTGGAGTTATTGGAGGCCTGACTCCAGGCCCTCTCATTTGGGTCTTGGTTTTGATCCCTCACTCGAACACCAATTAAAGACAATATTCTTGTGACAATCCATTTGAATGTTCTGATGATAGCGAGTGTCGACAATATATGTGTCAAATGGTGTCTGAGTCGTGAGAAGTGATCGGCGACTCCGATGAATGCCCTGAAGGAGGAGTTGACGGCATGATAGGTGGACTCCAACATGAGGGACACCGACCCGAAGGCCTGCACCACCGACTCGACCGACTCCAGGGTCTGTCGGCACCGATCGTCCGCCAATCGCATCCAATCACTCTCCGGACCATTGGTTCCCAGATATGGATTGCTGTAGCGATTCATACCATAGCCGCCCAAACCAGACAAACCATTGTATGAATAGACGGGTGAATAGCCACCAAATTGGGACCCAAACCCATAGCCAGAGCCATAACCGCCGGTGCGATACATATTGGCTACGGATTGGTTGGGACGCGGAGGAAGTGGTGGCGCAACACCTGATCCACCCCTCAGTGAAGACATGGCTATGTTTTCATTGCCAATCAAATGGTTTTGGTTTTGATTGACATTAAAATGATTGAAATTATTGTCATTTGAATGCATTGTTTGAGCACAAGATCAGCACATTATCACTGATAACACATGAAATGTCTTAATCACTCAACCGCTCACTGATTGCACCAATATTTGGGTCATTCCTTGTAATCACATTACGTTTGCAGCAAATTAT